AATTTTTTTTTTTTTTTTAGGGGCCCTAATCCTCTTCCGTATGATTACGATTTGCTTGCTAATCCAAAAATATTCAGCAAAAACAGAGGAAATCTGTAAGGCGGCTTTTTTTTTTTTTTTTTTTAAGTACTGTACCATAATGAAGCCCTTCATTTGTGTAAAGAAAATGAAAGGTATTCCTGACAACATTACCTCAGCTCTCATGTTTAACAAAGCGGATCAAAGCAGGCTGCATATGTACTGGATTTAAGAAACGCCTTCCTGCAGTTGTGTTAAAATACCTGGCGCTCGTCACGTTTTCCTGCATGACAAACCGTTGCCGCAAATTACAATGACATACGCTAAACACAAGACCCAGGTCAGCTTGCAAGCGAACGGCCTCACACATTTCAGATTGACAAAGTACATGTCTGTACAATACATAGATCGTTCATATACATTAAAGTATTAAAGCATATACATATATATATATATATATAAATATATACAACAGATGTACACCCACATATGCAGTAAAGGAATCAGTTTTTCGGTATTTTTGACTGACAACATAACCAAATCTGACTCCTCCAGTGGAACAACCTGTTGCAGACCACCAGAAACACAGCACTGAACTTGTAATTTATTGTTTGTACAACTGCTACATGTGAATAAAGAAACTGTCAGATGAGTTTTATTTATTATAGTAATTTTGTATCAAATTACTATTTAACTTTAGGAATATGACTGTGCTGAAACAATCCAATGTAAGAATATAGTGTTTTCATTTCTAGTCATCCACATGAATATATGTATATAAAATCTATATATTTAAAGATCCTTGTGTCTGTGTCATTCAAATCACCCCAGGCTGGTTTTTATGAGTTGCTACCCTTTAAACATGCACTAAAACAAATTCTTAATGGTTACAAACATGAAATGGTGGTGGTGGGGGGGGATTAAGAACTACGAAACACCTGCATGTTAGAAATATGCTAAGGCCAAGCAAATTTTCCAAAATGTCCGGGTAAGAATGTTTGTTGTTGACTTAGAAAACTTTTATTGTCACTTCATTTTATTGAAATTTGGTTTTGTACAGCTTTCATAACATTTCCATTCCTTTAAGTGCAGCAGTGATCAAATGTAAACAGCAAAAAACATGCCGAAAAGGCATTTATATGGAAGTTCAGAGCAAATATGCAGATTTTTCGATTGGTTTTATCGTTGTGATGTGGAGTAGGTGACATGATTAAGAGCTTTTCTCAACAGTTCAGCTGTCTGATGGCGGTCAGGAAGTAGCTTTTTCAGAATTTCTTAGATCTGCATCGAATGCTGCGTAGCCTCTTCCCAGAGGGCAGCAGGGAGAACAGTCCATGGTGGGGGTGTATACAAGGATGGGAACCAGAAATTACTGTAGTAAAGGCTCTGAATGTTGCGGAAAACAAGTGCAAGGTTTGGATATTTCTGTTTAAAGAGGCTACAAATGAAATGTGGCAAATGAAAGCCATCACTTACAGTTGCATTTTCAAGGAGAAACGTGGTAAAATAAATTAAATAAAACATGAATGGCTGAAGAAGAACTACCGCAGGACTTGAAGGTCAATCGCAGTGGAGGAGCTCCATACCTGAACTCTAAGATCTGTACCACAGTTGTTAAAAAAAACACGTCAATATCAATGTGGTAAACAGATCTCAGAGAGAGCAAACGGATAAACTGAACCCGTGCTAGTACACTAACTGACTAGCCACTCTAATAAAATACTGAACACAGCAAAGTGATTCATAAAACTTTAAAGTTGTTTTTTTTTTTATCAAAAAAAGCCTTTGGAGCCGAGCCTATTTCCCCCAGACAGTTATAAATCTTGCAAATTTGATTTGCAGCATTGAGAGAGTTATACAGATAATGTGGATGTTTTTTGTTGTCTTGCAAAACAGATCATACTCTTTTAATTAGTAAAAACTAGCTTCTACATATTTCAGACTAGCACAAAGTAATAGCTTGATATGATAAGGAAAATACAAGTTTTATTTATTATTTTGCACAAAGTCAAAAAAGACCCCATTTGCAGCAATTTCACCAGCAAAACTATAAATGTCAATTTCCCTCCAATTGCATAGTTACTCAATAGGTGATTGTGTTTATCACCATCTTGGGTGAATAACCATGCAAGCTTAAACAAGTCAGCTCCTCCTCAATGGAAGGAAGAACAATAGACCTGCTGTGTGCGACTGTGAGGGATGCTTACAGCTCCTCTCCGCTGCTCATTCAAGGTAGGTCACTCCTCATCCCTTTATTGGCCTCTGGTGAAGAGTTTGGGTATCGGAGAGAAGAGCAAAAGGCCTTTCTGAGTGCATCACAGGGTATGTTTGATTCTGTCTGTTGCTACTGTACAGCAATGACTATCATATGTAACTCTAACTACATGCAATGGGTTACAAATTACAACAAAGACGATGTGAGAGAATTCACAGGAGCCTTTCAGGAAATGTCAAGGAAGTGGAAAAAGAGTGGAAAGTACAACAACACATCAGAGGTTTGGTGGGTATTAAGATCAACACAGTGCAACACAAAAAGCCTTGGCAGTGCAGCATGTAATGTGAAGCATTACCCAGAGTGTCTGGATCAATTCAATGGACTGATCCAGACTCTCCTACTAACACACTGTCAAGACTAAAGCCACTCAACCCCTCGTCATTACTCTTCATCTTTATGTGATGGATTCACTCATATCGACTGAACACCAGGAAACCTTCCAGATAAAC